GGAAGGGTAGCACAAGCTGTAGCTCAGACAGGGGAGGAAAAGAGGGTCCACTGGGTCCGGAGAGGTGCTGCATGCATCCGTGCCTCCCTTCCCAAAATGAGGGGCCTCACGCTGTCCCCAGGCCGGCAGCTGCTTTCAGCAGACCTGTCCCTTGCTCGGAGGGTGTGTGAACGTGCTGGAAGGAGCGTGGAGCGATCACAGCGCTTGCCGGCTCTGGTGATGCTCATTATCGCTCAGCGCAGTGTCTGGTGATAATTAAAGCGCGCCTTCTATGTTGTGATTAATTTATCTTCTAATTAAGTGAGCTACGTGGTTATAGCTTGTTGTTTGTGGGTAATTAGCAACTTTCCCTTCCTTTGTGCATTTAATATGCCCTATTTATGTTTGTGCTATGTTTCCATGGCCTCTCAAGTGCTCCCTTCTCCATGAACCAAATGGAGGATCTTGGTAGGGTCCCGTTTTAGGGCGCATAGACCACTGCAGGCCTTTCTCCAGCCCTCATCCCAGCAGGTTTGTGGCTCTCTGGGACTGTGTGAGAGCCACCCTCTTTTCTTGAATTGCCCTGGACAACCCACCGCACCTCTGGGTCTCTCCCACCTCCCCCTGGACTTCCACTGCACCTCCGGCAGCACTGACCCTCAGTTTTTTTGACCCAAAGCAGGTGACACTTGACAAACTGGGGTCCTGCTCTGAATAAACCCAGTGTCTGATTGCCTGTCTGTGCCCACCGAGTGGCCCAAAAGAGGAGCTCACCGGAGCTCCTTTGTGGAGGCAGGGGATCTCTATTGCTGCCTTTCTCCCGAACAGCCACTGTTTTGGGGTGAGCAGCCCCTAAGACCATGCCATGGGCATTTCAAACACAGCAGTGCACAGCGTGCACTGGCCATGGAGAGGTTTGCCTGTTCCCGAAAAGCAACTGGTCATCACCTGGGAAGCTGGAGGGGGCATTTCCACAGGGCGCTGTGCTCAGCTATGAGCCCCCTGTTGGGTCTTTCCGCAGCCCCTGTGGTTGCCTCTGTCCTGCCACACCAGTGGGGATGAGGCAACAGCCAGGCAGGGAAACATCCCCATCACAACCAGCACGCTTGTCTAGGGGCTTGGCCTGAGATTACGGGTCTTCAGACAGGAGTCTACACGAATTTGCTAAATGCATTTCTGGACACAACTCAGAACTGGCCAGAGGATTCTGCCATTGACAAAAGAGTGGTGAAATGGCTATCCACCAAGGTGGGCAGCTTATTTTTTTCTTATTTTTTTTTTTCATTCCTGCTGATTAAAAAATAAAAACCAAACATTATCTCTTATTTTACTTAATTTCAAATTGGTGCTAAAAAAAAATGCAAACTAAACAGTAAAAACTAAATAGGGAAAATGCAGCTCATTTAGCAGGAGGGTCTGGACACAAACGGTATGCTTCGTCTAGGAGTAATACTGGTGTGTTACTGTTAAAAAACAAAACAAAAAAATAAATCCAAAGACCTCAACTTGGAAGCCATTCCTTTCTGGATGGGTAGGTAACCTGTCTCAGCAGGGAGGACTCCTCAGGCTGGGACCACCCGCCCCAGGCATGTGGTGGAGTCACTCAGTGGTCACAGAGGGATGGGACATAGTGAAGTCTGCTCAGAGCAAGGCCAAAATTGAAGTTACATGCAGCTTCGAGATCACGTTGTCACCTTAAAGCCCAGTCCCAAGACGCCCAGCTACTTCAGAGACTAAACTGAGCTTGCAGACTGGAGATCACACAGCCCAGGCTTTTGACAGCAGAGGCTGAACTGGTTCAGCTGGGAGAATCGCCTGTGGGGCAACTGGCCTGAGAAGGATGCAAAGCCCTCCGTGGTGAGACTGCTCCCTCTCTGCTTCCTCTTAACCTTCTTGCCTAAACCAGCGAAAATACACAGCCTGTTCCCGAGCAGATCCCCAGGGGTCTGCTGCGTGGCCCATCAGGCCAGCAGGGCTCTGTCAGGCTGCCCAGGAGGACTCAGCGCAGGGCTGGATGCCATCGGCACCAGGACGTGCAGGCAAACCTGACCTTGTTTTGGCCATGCAGGACTCGACCCAGCCTCCAGCAGTGTGTCTGGAGCCACCTTACTGCTGGCACCAGCATCCTGGATGCCTGGATGCTTTGGGACTTCTTGTAGTTAGCAGCTTTTTGTCCTTTTTTGTCTCCTTTTTTTGTCTTTTTTTTTTTTTTTTTTTTTTTTTTTTTTTTGTATCAGATAATTTTGAGCTACTTTGCACCCTTCGGTGTCGCGGTGGCTGCTTTTCTCTCGGCTCAATATTATTCCATCATTTTCCATAATAGATCAGTAATGGAGCCATTACTCAACACAGCCGCCGTCTAATTGCTGCGCTGCCAGGCTGGGCTCGCTCGTGCTGAGCTCCCCTCGCCCTGGCAGGGCGTTGCAGCCCTCCTCTGCTGCTCCTGCCAGGCACCCTCTGCGATGGGCAGCCTTACTCCTGGTGTTTCCTCGGGGGAAGGAAACTCCACTCCAGCCCCACACCTCCTTCGACCAGAGCTCCCATCTGGCATCCAGCCGAGAAACAGACCCTGGAGCTCAGCACACGTGCCCGAAGTGCCAGCACCCTGACCAGAGGCAACCCTTAGCTCCAGGAGCCTTCCGAGCACTGCGCTTGCTGCACTGTGTGCTCTTCCTATTTGCAAGCCCAGGGACGCATGCAAGCTATGGCCACTGCTGCATAAGCACAGGAATACGAGAAAAAAAATTAGCCCTAGACAAAACCCTTTGCCATAAAAGCTGCAAACATTATCTGAGTGCTCCCAGAGCTCTGTGAGTATCTGGCTATTTTAACACAGAAAGTTACAGCTATGGCTCATATGGAAAAAATGTCTCTTATTTTTTCCTGGGCAGAGACAGAGCTTCCTGATCTGTGCTTTTTTGGTTTAAATACAATGCCCCAGTGCAATGTCATTGGAAGAAGCCGGAGTGGTTTAAAATCCGTCCAAGTCATGCTTGCTAGTGCAACGAAATCACCCAATAATAGTTCCCTGATTTGTTCGCTCTCTCTGTGCCATTTTTATTCATTGCATTTGTGGGGAGCGTGCAGCGGAGGGGACAGCTGTTCCCAAGACAAGCCCTCACACAACACAAGCTCCCACGTTGCCTCTCCTGGAAGTAAATAAAAAAAAACACCCCCTTTTTTTAATTTATTTTTTTTTTAAAGGATGAAATAATCACCCGAGTAATAACCTTCTATTAAAACAAATGTTTAGCTGAGAGGCTTGGCTGGGTGGTGAACTGCAGCAGGGGAAAGCTTTTGGGCTGGGACAGCTTGGACGTGGAGCCCCCAGTGCTGCAGGTGGGAGGTGCTGCGGGGATTGCTGGTCCCAGAAGGGGGATGAAGCTTTCCCCCTGTCTTTTAATTTAAAATTACAGGTGCCTGGTGAAGCATGTGCGGCTTCATTGAGTCCTCCGGCTGAAAAGCTGCTGAGTGGATAAATGGTTTGAAACGGCTGATACAAAATCTGCGGCTTGGTGTTCGGAGGAGGAGGAGCCGCAGTGTCTTTTCATTTGAAAAAGTGCTTGGAAATGGGTTAGGAGATCAGCTGAAATCACAGCAAAATTGTTTGAAGTTCTCTCTCTCTCTGTATATATACATATGTCCATACAGAGAGGAAAAAAAAGAGAGAAAGAGAACACTGATTTGAGTTTTTTTTTTTTCTTTTTTTCTTTTTTTTCTTTTCATCTGGTTTTGTAACAAGGCTTTTGCTTTCTCTTTTTTTGGAGGTGTTCACGGGCTCAGGATACAGCTCTCTCCACTCGTCAGCAGCCTGGGGAGTGCAGAAGGCGCCTGGCTTAAGATACTGAAGTGCCCTAAGGCTGGCAGTGCTAGAAAGCACCTGTGCTAGTATTGATGTGTCACAGGTACAGACAAAATCTTTGTGCAAAGCAAATGCATCCAAAATAAGGGGTTACACAGCGGCGGTGTGAACACATGGCACATCTGCAATTACCAGCGTCGGGGAGGTGTTGGACAGCACAGGGCTGAGGAATCTGAGCGGGGATGTTGTCTCCTTCCCAGCTAATTCTTAAAGTCATTAATCTCAACAGACTTTTATCATCACCCAAGCTGACCTCCTGAGTCAGGCGGGGTGATGAATCATTCATGGGCGAGCTCTGGCTTTCCTGGAGCACTTCAGCGAGGCTGCTGTTGATGGAGCAGCCCGAGCCCCCGGGGCTCAGCGGGGGCTTCTCCTGCTCACCCTACACATTTGCTGGTCCTGGTTTGTGCCGTGGGGGGAGCAGGAATGAGGAATGCGTTTGGGGGGATGTAAGTCCTGCATTTTATGATGATTGAGACATGGGAGCCAGCTTTTCTTAATGCGAGCAACACTGATGCTTTGCATCTATTTAAAGTGCATTTCTTCCCAGGAAGCCGGCATGGCATGCTGCTTAAACCTCATATTGGGTTTTTAAATGGGGAAGGAGATAATAACGCAATATGCAAGCTTCCCGACTGCCTCCAACTTGTACAGCCCTGCTGGATTTACCATCCTGATGCTCTGCTGAACTATTTCACCATCATCTGTTTTCTTCTGCATAATTTCATTTCGATTCTCAGCCACCTGCTGTACGTGTCTCAGATGCACTCTGAACTCTCTCTGCCTTCGAGCACCCTTTCCTCACCCCTCCTGCAAGCCCCTCTCACTGTCCCTGGGGCTCCCACGGGCTTTCTCAGGGGGTCCCCTGCTCTGTGTTGCTTGTTCCCACCCTCTGCCTTTGCCTCAAATATTTTAGGAGGACTTGGCTCTGAAGCACATCAGGAACTTGCTGAAAAAAACTCTTTTTTTGTTTTCTTTCTCCTATTTTATTTTATTTTATTTTATTTTATTGGGCGCAGTAGCTCCCTGTGCCACGGTGTGGGTCAGCAATAAACTACAGGGACCAGCTGTGGTTATCCTTGGCTGAGAACGGGGGCATTTGGTCCTATTTCATGGCAGAAAAAAACAGCTGCTGGAGCTGGCATTTGGAGGTGCCGGCGTTCATCGAGGGCATGTCTTACTGGTGCCAAAGGCAAAGTTAATGTGAGAAGAGAGGAGGTCTTGCAGGCCTGCCAGAGCAGAACAGCGAGGTAAGAAGCCATCGAAGAAGGCTGCTGCTCTGCAAGGAGCCACATCTCTGGGTGCACAGGCCCTTGGTGTGCTCTTGGCTCTCCATGCAGGTCTCTGCCCTCCCCCAAACGCCCGTCTCTGCACACCCATCCGTGCCAGCACCACTGTGGGTGAGGGTGAACCTCCCCCTTGCGATGGAAATGATGGCTGATCGCTTATTCCAAGTGCCTCATTCCCCTTCAGGCATTCATTTTGCTGCACGGGGATGTTCACGCTCCTGCATCCATGCCGCATACCAAGCGCGCCGCTTCTGCCTCCGACGTATTCAGTTCAAGGTCTTTTCTCTAATAGCCTCGGTTTTACCTTTTCAAAGTAGCTCCAAAGAGATCTCGCTGATGACTCGGGAGGTACGAGGGATGCTGCATGGCGTTGTCATCATGGATATGAATCTTAATGGCAACCTGCAGACCTTCAGATCAATCTGGGAAAGGCGAAGATAATGGTGTCCCAGAATCCACCCCTCTGCGTTACATCCCCTTTTGCCATTAGCCCCGTGCACACTTGGAGATTAAAAAGAGACCGGCCTAATTAAAGCCAATATAAATTTGGATCTCCTAAAATATGACTGATTAATAATGTATTACGCCCCAGCAACAAAGAGTTGTAAATTACCCAGGCAGTGGCACAGCCGCCAGCCTTGCTGCGTGCCATGCTAACCGCTGCCAGTAGCGCCTGGCTCCTAAATCACGTCTGCTTGGGTTCATCTCCAACAGGCTAGAAAGGCTTAATTCTCCGAGTTCAATAAATAATGGGTCTGTCTTAAACACAGCAAGTAATTCATTGCCTCCCGTGTAAGTAGTAGCTCAAAGATCTTCATTTAAAGCTTTTTATGGGGGAATGACTCTCTCATGCGCTCAGGGTGGTTGTGGAGTCTCTCATTTTTGAATTGCTGGGTAAAACCTAGCCCTGCTTAAACTCTGGCCATTAATTAGAGGAAGTAATCACGGCTTCACAGCTCTTCAGTCACTCTAATGTGAAAGCAGACAGTCATTTTGGTTTGGCTGCTGGTGGTCAGATGTCCGCGGCACTGAGCCCTAATTGGGTCCCAAGCCCGCAGAAGACTGGGACTGAAGCAAAGCGGAGCTTTAAGGCTGCTTTTCACGTTCATCCAGTTGTGATGAAGTCATTGTCTGACTCCAGCCAGCCTTGGCAGGGGCTGGGGTGGTGAAACCCTCGTTACTAGAAGCTGGGTTTTGGCAGGCAGGAAAGAGCAGGGGGTGGACTTGGTGGAGCTGCCCTGCTTCTGCCACGCGAGGAACCAGACCTGAAGAGCCCAAACAGGCCCCTCGTCTAAAGGAGAAATCTCCTCTCCTCCCCAGCACGTGTTGACACACCAGCCCACCTTGCACCCTCCCCACTCACCAAAAGGATTTACACCCTGAGCTATCGGTGCTGGAGGGTCTGGGGACGAGCGCCGCTTCCCACAACATGTGTGCAGCAAATGAGGCTGTGGATCTGCTGCTCGGTTGATGCACTGCTCCAGCTGCAGGCTAACAGCTCCTGGCTTGGTGATATCCAGAGACCAAGCATTATAAATAATGGGAGATTAGCAACACTCTTAGTGCTTCAGACTCCTATGATGTGCTTGTTAGTGGCTGCAAATGAGCTGTACGCCAGTGTTTAGCAACATCAACTTGCGAATGTCACCGACAGAGAAATCTAAATCTTTCACTGATTTTAAAGGCATTTAAAATTGCAGCACTCCCATTCACACGCAGTTCGGAGGAGCGTAAATAACACACAACTTATTTTTATGCTTCGCCCTTCATTTGGAGCGTGACAAAGCTCTGCACGGCTTAGTGCTGAAGATGCAAGGAGAAGGAATATTTAGAGCGAGATGCGGTGGAAGGAGGCACGTGGCGGCCAGGACAAGGGGACTGCAGCAAAGAGGAGGTTGGGATCTCAGGTTCAGGAGCACAGGATCACAGAGCAAAGGCTTCCTTTCCTAGGAAACATCACGATGAACTGAAGAAATAAACACCAAGCACCACTTCTCCCTGCATCTGCTGCCCTGCAGGGCAGGAGCTTTTTGGATGGGTCATGTAGGTTCTGCAGGCAATTTCTGCCAGATCCTCAGGAAGATAAAAGCTCATGTGTAATCCGCTGCCTGGGAGACAAACTTGTGGCATATCAGACCTGGCGCTGGGCTAAAACTCAGCAGGTTCCTCACCCCTTCTGGGTTCTGCCTCTTGGCTGTGGGCATCTCACAAGTATGGGCCAGCAACACGTCCTGCTGGCGGGACACGAGCGTGCCAAGGGGTGAGGAAGGATAACAACTCTTGTGGATAAGGCTCTCAGCTCTGGAGTCAGAGTGCAAATTCCCCCAGCAACAGAGATGCACATTTTGGCACCCACATACCCCTGACATGGGGGAATGGAGAGGAAGGGTGCTGAGTGTGCAGAGCTCTGCCACGTCCATCACTTTCGGAAATCAGAGTAGTCAAACTTCCCTGACAGGCTGATGATTCATTAATGGGAGAGCACACTCAGTGCCCGGGCAGCCAGCAGATGAAAGAGGTCTTTGTTACAGGAGGTGACGTTGTCAGTTGAGGCTACGGGAGAGAGACTTATTGGATCAATTTTCACCAGCGGTTATAAAAACGTGTTTCGTTGTGATGGGGCTGCTGTCTTATCTTCCCCTCCTGCCAGCGGAACACGCTGCTGCTGCCACTCAGCCTGCTAATCACCCCGCTGCCGCTAGCCTGGAGAAAACGGGGAGCCAGCCACATCCTGGGAGCCGCTCCTGCAGCCTCCTCATCTCCTCTGTTCGCGTGGCTGGGGGGTTGGTTAGATGATCTCTCAAGGGACTTTTGGGCATCTCCACTTCAGCCTCCAGCTCAGGGCAGGGTCTGCTGGGTGTTGCTAGAGAAAGCCTTGGGAAGTGGGCAAATGGTGGTCCTACACCCTTGGGAAGGCTGCTGGAGACCAGTAGCCCTTGGGGGCTTGCTGTGGGTAGTGGTGGCTGCGGGCTGGTGGTGGTCAGGAGAGGGCAGAGGACAGCGGTGGGGAGGTGCTGAGGGATTGCAGTGGGAGGAGCGGGTCTGGTGTTTGGCATAATCTCCACGTGCTGAAAAAATGGTCTGAAATCAATAAGAGAAAATGCAGTAATGACAAGGGCAAAGCGCTGCTCGTAGGGAAATAAAAAGACAGTGCACCAGGATGAAAGGAGGAATAATTGGCTCTGCAGAAGCATGTGTGAGGAGTCCCCAGCACTGGCACGGCAGGGCCTGGACAGGAGCCCCGGCTCCTCCAGCATCTGTCAGGCTCTGGGGTGACCTGTGCAGCACTGCGAGAGCTCTGCCGCAGAAACTGGAGCTGTGACGCCGAGCAGAGCTGGGGTGAGTGGACGGGAAGCAGGATTCAGCGCGCTTCAGGGTGGTTTGGAGAGCCAGGAAACACTGGGGCTGTTTAATTGAAAGTAACTATTAAAAAAAAAAAGAATTAATTCTTATTAAACACCCACAGTGACATTTTCTTAAGTGGAAATTAAACAGGGATTAAGGTGAAGCCTCCTAAGACTCTCCCTGTTGTGATCCAGAATATTTTAAGGCAAGAGCACCAGGCCATGTTAAATCTGAAGAAATGAGCTGATCTGGATGCACTCTGGTGCTTTTGCTTCTCTCCATCCTGCTTCTCAGGGGAGCAGAGGCAGCTGGATGTAGTGGGGTGCTAAGCAAAGAGATGCCTTTAAAACGGGGTCCTCCTCTGAGCCCTGGCCTCTCAGCCACCTTCTCAAGCGCTGCCTGAAATGGGAAGGGAAAAGAAATGCTCTGGGATGGAAACCCTAGATAAAATAAGAAAGGACATTTTCCTTCGTGGTCCCCCCAGTGCTCTTGCCTGTACTTGGAGGAGCCCACGCTCCCCTCCTGCCTTTTGGGGAGCCAGCAGAAAGTGTCCCTTGCAGGGAGGATGCAGTGAGGGTGCAGATGGAGCTGCTCAACCCCTCGCACCAGCGATGCCAAGGCACGGAGGCACCCCGGGAAGAAGTGTCCTAAATCAGGAGCCCCACCACTGTGTCTACGGCCACATTTAATGGTCTGAAGGTTCCCCACTGCTGTTATTTTTTGTGTGGTAACAGCAGCCCAGCAAGGCAGGGAAAAGCTTCCTTGTGCCACGCCGAGGGCTCCGTTCACGCTTGCAGTTTTTGCATCCAAATCCCCGTGACAGCGTGCAGAGCTGCTCATCCTCCACTGCCTCATCCCCAGGGCAGCTCCTGCCGGCAGCAGCAACGAGGCACAGCGAGCGCCTGTCTGTGTGGTTATATCACACACCTCTCTGCCACCGGCAACATTAGAGGCAGACGAACCTTCTCCAGAAGACTTCTGCTCCCTGCCTGGAGAAGGAGTGCAGGAACGAATCAGTGCGCCTGGGCCAAGTCACTTTGGATGGTCTCACCCCTCTGCCACCTCGCAGCCTTTCTGGACCCCACCTCCTGGAGGAAGCTCAGCACCAAGCCCATGGGCTGGATTTTTCTGCCCCCTGGGCAAGGAGCTGTTAGTGCAAGGCTCCTCCACTTCTCACTCACCTTCCAGGTCTGTCCATCTCTTGCTTTCATCCAGTGCCTATTTGATTAATTAAATATTCTCTCCTGCAGATTGCTGGCTGAGGGTGACACACGTTTAATGAACAGCTGCAGGTCCCTAATCACATTGGCAATTAGGAATGTAATTAGAGCACTTGCAAATGGTTTTCATGCTGATAAAACATGACAGAGTAGAGCATTTTCACTCACTGTCAGCTGTCAGACAATCTGTTACCTATCTAATGGCAATTTAATTACAAATTCCTTCACTACCTTTGGTTCTGATTGCTCTGGTCCATGGCTTGACTGGGCATCTCTTGGGGTCAAACGCAATGCAACCCAACATCATTGGTGGTGTGCCATGGCAAAGCTCTGCTTGAGAAGGGGGATTTCAGGCCGGGATGCCCACAAAACCCTCCCCTCCCACCTGGCTTGGGAGGGCAGGGCATCCAGGAGATGGTGAAGCCTCAGCTGGAAAGGCTTGGGTCCTCCAAAAAGGCTTCGGTCTGCTCTGAGCTGTGCTCAACCCTGCAGCATATTCAGCTTGAACAGCTGAATATCCTTGTCTAGAAGTCTTTTGTTGCTGAAACCACCCCTAAATCGCATTTGTGCAGTCACTGTGTGCTGCCGAGCCCAAATAGCACTGTAACTCTGTCACCAGCAGCATTTCCCCTCGGTTCTCCAGGTGCTGTGTGTAACTCATTACCAGGTAGAGCTGCATTAAGAAACACATTTTACAGACGAAGGTACCGCTCAGGAGGAGTTATTCAGCTCCAGGTCACACGCTGAGACAGCTGGGAGTAGAACCGAGGCCTTTTAATGACAGTTGAAGGGCAAAGATGCAACAAGTGACGGACACATTTTGGGTCACATCAGAGCCCAAGTGTCATCTAAAGCACTGAATCCCCCCAAAGTGCTGACACCTCCCTGCAGTGCTGGTGAGTTCCTGGCCCTGGCAGGCCTTGCGGGAATCTCACAGGTAATTTTTGCATAGCTTTCAAAGTATAATTGCTTAATTTGCTGTAAAATGCTTACTTCGGTTGTTAAAACTGCACGGAAGTTGCAAAGCAAAGAGCACAAGGAGCTGGCTTCAGGTGCACACACGTGGCACAGCCGCACCTGGTGACCCACAGCTCTGTGCCACCAGAGAGCCACCAAGAGTCCCCACGCTGACATGGAGAAATCCTGGCCGTGTCCCTTGCTCCCAGCCCTGTCCCCAGGACCGGCTCTGCCTTTCTGGCTGGGTGTCTGCTTTTAAAGCTCCTGGGCACGCTCGCCTCCTCCAGCTGACCCAATTCCTCCTCGTTGCCATGGAGAACTGGGCTCGTTTCTGGTTTTTAGTCTTGGTGCTGCTCCTGCTGTGCCCAGGAGGATGCTGCAGCCAGTCCTGGCCCGGTGTTCCCAGGAGAGGAGCACTGATGGGACCAGGGTGGCTCGGCTGGTGCTTGGGATCTTCTCAAGCCCAGGACACCAGGGGCTGCGTGTCCTGGTGGCCCTCCCTGTGCCCACTGCCCCAGGCGCCAACAGACATCAGGTGCCACTCGTTGTAAGCCCCATTTCAGCACACCTGAAGACACAGGGATGTCTTTTGATGTGGTTAAAGATCAAGAACTGGCAATTTTAGGGGCTGGCACTTCAGATGAATATTTAAGATCTCAGAGTTCTGCTAAGGAGGACTAATTTGGAGCTGGTTCAGCCCCTGTAAATCATTTACCCCACGCAGCCTATCAGCTAGCTGCTCCACTGTGCAATTTTCCGTTCTGTCCTTTTATAAAATGATATTTTCTGTTTTTCTTTCTTTGATTGTTTTCCCCAACCAGGAGATAATTCACTGGTTAATGTTCATTCATGGATGGAGGGACTGCAGCTTTGTACTCCTGGACAGGATTATCTAATCTCAGCGCAAGCCATTGTTGTTGGTGAACAGCTACAGATGAGGCAGTCTCTTGATGTCACTTAGTATATAAAAATAATAATTTGTCCTGTCTCTTTGCTTTGCAGCTTCCCAGGCAGGGGGATGTTGAGCACTGGCAAGGGAGCTTTTCTGTATCTCATATTTCACTGAACTCCAAAGCAAATAGCAGTAACAAAACAAATCAAAGCAAAAGAAAATAAACCAAACCAAACAAACAAAACACACAAGGCTCCCAAAACAGTATTAACCTTCTCTTCAGCCCACCCTACAACTGCAGGCCAATCTTCCCCTCCTGGCTGGCTCGAGGAAGCAATTTCTAGTTTGAATTGCTGTGCGTGTGACACTGAAGCCTTGTGTGTTTAAAAGCAGATTCCTGGAAAGCAGCAGCAAAGCCAATTTCATCTTCTCAGCAAAGTCTTTTTCTTTCTAAGAAGCAACTTGCCACGTCAGTGATGGTTTTAAATTGACTTTCGCAGGTGCCCATCCACGAGAGATATTGTTTCCTAGAAACCAGAGGTTAATGGAGAAGGGCTCCAAATCAAGCAAGGAGGAGGAAAAAGGTCCTTGTTGCTCTGCCGAGCACCATCTGCTTCATGACAATAAAGACAGCCAGAAATTACGCTCGGTTATAGGATAAAGCCTCCTCTGGCTTCTAGGAAATGTGGATGGGGAACAGCTGGGCCATGCCCAGCTTTCTGGGGGGGCTGGAGGAAGCATCCTCACACTGGGGCTGGGTGCATTCATCCAGTTTCCCTGATTAACACAGTAAATTCAGGCAATGTGAAGCAATTTGCGGAGGGATGGAGGCTCCCGTTGTTTGCTCTGAGGGGAAGGATGGGGAGGGTGTGATGCACAGCACCCCTGAGACCATCCCTTTCCAAAGCTTCCATGTCCCAGCAGCTCTTCAGGCATCTGGGTTTAGTGCCTCCTGCACTAAAGCCCCTAAATTATTACCTTTTTCCTTGAAGAATTCCTCCCTTCCAACATTTTTCGGTTGTTGTGCCTGATGAAGGAGGCAAACCAGGTCCTGTGGCGATGCTGTTGTTGAGTTGCCCTGAGAGCTGGGTGCAAGCCAAAGAAGAAAAACTTTCTGGTGGTCCTGGGGGTCCATCTAACACACAGATGTGGCTGCGTAGAGCACATTTGGGCTGCAGTTTTGGGTGGAAAAATGAGCAGAGCCAGGAGTGGTGCCTGGCCTTCTGTGTGTAAGAAAAATGCCAGGGCAAATCCCACCTGCTAGCACCAGCGTAACACTAATCGATGATCTTCAACCGGGAAACAACCATGGAGCATCCAAAAGCTGCTTGTGCAATTCACCGAGTGCACTAACCTTCACTGCCTCTCTAAAAAAAAATCCTCAGTCCCAGTTCAACAGATCACAAGCCTCCGAAAATGGCATTTCCACACGCTCAGTCAATCCCAGCAGCAAACATTAAACGCCATCCTCTGAAAGTGTTAACAGCCCCGAGAAACAGCCCCCTGCTTCGCGGACACTCTTGAAAGCAGCTGTATTAATCTTGCTGTGCTTAAGGTGCCAGCCCTCTGCAGAGCGGAGATAATACTGCTGCATCTCGTGGGGGCTGCGGGGAGAAATGAATATTTGTGAGCTGCTCACCAAAAGCCCGCGTGGAAAGGATGAGCTATGCTTTCTGCACGGTGTGGGAGAGCCGAGGGTGGGAAGGGCTCTGCTGATTGAGATGTGCAGAGCAGCTGCTGCCCCTCAGCCAGCTGCCAGTGGTGTTTGCAGTGTGATTTGCCCCTGATTTGTGGGCAGGAGCTGCGTCCCCTCGTGCAGGCTTCAGGAGCAACCACCTCTTGTTCTGTTCCTGCCCTTGCTACTCGTTGGGTTCGTGTAGGGCTGCTGCCTCTTCTACTGCAGGGTCTGGTCAACAGTGACAGGGTTGCCTCTCATCTTCTGCACTCTTCTTAGGACCTGTGTTAGGGCCAAGTAGAAAAAAAAAAAAAAAAGGAGAAAAAGTCACGTTGTTTATGATTTGGTAGGGTTTGGAAGGGGAATTTTGACATTAAAGGAGAACCTGCTCCCATTTTTCACTCATTTATTGTCCTTGTCCTTGCCTTTAATTTTTACGTATTTTTTCATTTATTTTTTTTTTGAGAGGGTGGTGCGGGGATTGCTAAAAGGCTCCAATGAATGTGGTACATGCCAAATCCCTGGTGTGAACCCAAGGGCTCCAAAACTCCAGCTGTTTCAGCGGGATCAAGCTCCCAGGCTTCAGTGGCCGATCTCCAGCTTTCATCATCTTGCTTCAGACATTTGATGCGGGCCCTCTGGCCACCAAAGAAGCTGCCCACATCTCCCTGAGCCTGCAGTGATGTCTGCTGGGCGCTCTGGTCACTGCCCCTACCCCAGCTCCTGGCTCCAGCTTTGCTAACCTGTGTTCGCCATCCGTTTGGATTACCAGTGTGAGAAGGAGGGGTTGAAGATGCTTCAAAACGTGATTTCACTTAACTGGTACCTCCCGGGTGGCTGAAAAGTATTTGCTTGAACTTGAAAGACGGAGTAGGCATTAAATGTGAAGAAAGGGTTGCATTTTTCAAGAGCTGAGGCTTATCTCCCGTCTTGCTGATGTCGGTAGCCAAGTTCTCAGTGCTGCTAATGAAAGCAGCATTAGGCTCATTTCCTATTTAGCCTCTGCTTGGAAATCCTGCCTGCAGCAGGCGTGTGGTTAGGGGACCACAGAAAGACATTTGTGATCTGAGCACAGCGGGGATGGCATCTCAGCAGCATCTTCATCCCTCGCTGGAAGGCCAAAAGTCTGTGAGTCCAGGGCCTGACCAGATGGTTAGAATCCACAAAGGATGGGCTGAGGCAGGTATCTGGTGTGCTGAGCCATCCTCTTGCTTCAGCATCTCCTCGCTTTCAAGCCTGAGTGAATCTCCGTGAACTTTTAGCCTGGTTACCGAAGCTGCGGGTCCGGCCAGGACCATCGGCTTCCCAAGCCCTCAGATCTGCCTCAGAGGGCTGCACAGCTCCCACGTTGAGTCCTGGCACCTTGGCACCCCTCTGAGGGGGCCAGGAAAGCCAGGAGCACTCGAGGAGAGCCCCCCATCACCTCCAGCCCACAGCCATCAGCGTCCATCTCCCAGTGCAGGCCCGAGCCGATGTCAAGGCCTAGCTACCTGGTGACGATGTTAGGATCCCCTGCAGGATCCGACTCTTGCTGCCCAGGAGGTCACACACAGCAGCTTCCAGGACTGGAAGCTGAGTAGATGCTGACCATCATTTGGGCATCGTTTGGAGAGCAGCTTCTCCAGCTGGTCCCAGGCATCAGGGGTGGCAGCGTGTCCGGGCTATTTTGGATCACAGTCATGCACAGGAGGATCCCTGGTTTTCCCTGTCCTGTGCTATGTGTCCCTGGTGTCAACTGAGGTCTTCTCCTGGTGTTTCAGGCACGTGCTGCCGCCCCCAGCTTCTGCACTGAACAGTCATCACCAGCCAAAGACAAGGGTCACTGCAATCAGCACCCTCATTAGCATACTTGCCGTTGTATGGGAGGGCTTTGCAAGGTTTGCTCCAAAAGCAAGGGTCAGAAGCACTGCAGGCTGTGAGTCCTTGGGGCTGTGGGGAGCTTGTTGGGGGGCTCTGGACCAGTGGGGTCTTCAGGGCAGGTGGTACTGCATGGAAGGAGCAGGAGAGCCAGCAACAGGCCCCACCAGTGGCTTTTTACAGCCAGTGTTTGTCAGCTCCACGCAGCAAAAGCAGCAGTCTGAGGTACTGCAAATACCACAGGTTTGTCCCGCAATGAAAGCAGCTACTCAATCCTGAGGCCGGTTTCCATGTGTTGGCATTTAATGTTTAATGGGAAAAAGCCTAGAGCAAAGGAATAAAGTAAGAAATATTTAATTTTACAGTGTTGGTTTGCACCATATGTTTTCCACTTCGTAAATATTTTAGGCACTTCTGCTCAACAAAAGCAGGCTCTGTCTCCCATGGGTTTTTATGTCTTCACGTCCCTGCGGCGGGGCAGCTCTGGGGCTCCCCACTCTCTGCTGACACCTTCCTGGCAGCGAGGGGACGTTTCTGCGGCCACGTCCAGCGATGTCTCTGCAAAGTGCTCTGCTCACCTTGGTCTCAGCACTCTGGAGGGCTGTGCTGGGACTGGGGGGCTCCAGAGGGCTGGCATGGTCCCTCCTGCCACAGAGGCACGGGCAGCAGAAAGCTCCATCCCTGCCCTCCCACATCTCCTGGGCAGCAGAAACAAAGTACCCCCAGCATCTGGTTGGCACGCAGGGATGGACACGCATGGGACACACAGCCTTGGTGGCAGCAAACCCTCCCAGCCACCTCCTGCTGAGCTGCCCTGTGGAGCTTGTTGTGACCTCGGGGGCTTTGCCAAACGGGAAGGCTTCTCATCCCCATCCTGGGCTATAAGCTGAGGCTCTTTCTTCTGCGTGACTGATTTCTTGCTATGCCCCGACTCAGTGACCCCGAGGTCTGCAGTCTGCATTTTCTCAGAGGTTTGGCGATGGCCAGAAGGAGCATTTTGTGGACCGCGGGTGTCACGCGGCACGCAATCTCTGCCACACACAGACACAGTCAGTAACGGATATATATTATATTATATTTATATATATATATACACATTAACAAAAGAGTTGCCAAAAAGAAAAACCGAAAAAAAAAAAAAAAAAAGGGAAGAAAACATAAAAAGGAAAAGCAACCCTCCCCCAGAAATGAGTATGTTACACGTGGAAAAGAAGAGTCAGGCGGGCAGCACGCTAGCCAAGGTCTCACCACGTCCCAGGGCTGCCCAGCGGGGTCGCCAGGAGAAGCGGGGTCAGCAGCACCCCCAGCTCCACTGGGGACCCCGCTGCCCACCTCCTGCCCCTCTGCTGGGCCGTGGGAAATGTGCTCATTCATAACAGCGGGCTGCACAGCCCCAGGGGCTCGGTTTGGCTGCAACTGCTGTCGTGTCATCGTGCGCCGGACGGGTTTGGCCAAAGGGACGGCTCGCTCGTGGGCTGGGGGCAAAGGCTGCGGGGCAGCAGGGGAGCATGGCGCGGAGGGGCAGGGAAGGGGCTGCTGCTCCCACCCCCCTGGCAGTGCTGGGGCAGGTTCTGGTCTTCCACCCCCAGGAGAGGATGGTGGGGATGCCCGGACGTCACTCCCACCCCCCTCCAGGCCTGCGCTTTTGGGGTGAGGGGCTCCCCGTGGGACAAGACACGCGCAAAGGTGTGCGGGGGTCCTGCCACAATTAGTGCAATTTCATCAGGTGCAAATGTCACATTAACGGCTCGTGTGCTTTACTGGATGTGCTGAGTCCGCTAGCAAGAAGCCGGTCAAAGCGGTGCCGGTGCCGGCGGAAAGCTTGGCACCTGGATTGCAAAAGCTAAAATCCATCTCCAGTGCTTGGGCGTTTGCTGGAGGGTGACGCAGTGCGAGCAGCCCTGGCTGAGGTCAGCACAAGGGGAAAAGACTTTACTGAGAGCTCCGTGTGGCTTTGGAAAAAGACATCCAACCGAAAATGGCAACTTAGCCTCTTAAAATGAACTGCGTTTGTGTGCTTAGCTGCAGAGAATGGCAGCTCAATCCCTGCTCGATCCCCACCCCGTGCCTTCAAATGCTGGGGCCAAAAGCAAATAAAACTGCTCTGCCTGCTCAGGAGGGATGCTCCGTGTGCCACAAGCCCCTGCCAAGCACCACCAGCCCATGAGCAATGGGAAAGCAGCCCAGACTGGAGGCAAAACTTGACTTAGCAGTGCAAGTGGCAGTCCCTTTTCCTCTTCTCTCCCCACAGCATTGGGCAACCGGTCGCTGAAAATGTCACCCCGGTTAAGCAGAGGGATGCTGTGCTGAGGAATGGGCTCTGTGTACCCGCTCTGCCTGGATGCCCTCAATGACACGAGTCCCCCAGGATGGCTCCTTGGTGGGGACCCCTTCCCACAGCCCCCGTGCCTGCTCCTTGCTGTGGGAAGAGCCTCTAAGTGCTGTCACCCCGTCTGAACCGGCCACCCACCCCTCCAAGGCTGGGCTTTGAGGTAGTTTCCTGTCAGCAAGGTCCAGGGGGGTCTCTCCCCATTGCAATAATAATAATAATAATAATAGTAATAATAATAAAAAGCAAGGAAAAGGCTGGCGGAGCTGGGAGGTCTCAGCCTCCTGGTCCATCTGTGATGCCACCAAGGCTGGACCCCATCCAGAGGAGAAAAAGGGATTTTCAAATACCATGGACCAAAGCTCGAGCATCAGCACATTCCGTGCCACTGTGCTGCCTGATGTCCTTGCTGGCCCCGTCTGCGGGGGACTTGGTGCTTGCGGTTACTGGGAGCACTGGTGGCAGCTCAGGAGCTTGCTGGGGCCCCAAATTAAGCCTCTTGCCTCAAAGCAAACAGGACAGCCCCGTGCTCACACCACCATGGTGGAGAACAAACTGAGAGCTGAGATTTTGGGGTCCTAAATTGAGATTTGGGGTCACAAAGCACAGAGTGCCTCTGCTCAGTGCCAGTGTCTCAGGGACACCCGATGCAAAGCTAATGGAGGAGCTGTGCTGGGGGCAACGTGCACCTCGACCAGGCTCCTGAGCGAGTGCTCGGTGGGGGTCTCCCTGCATCCTGGTGAACTGGGACCTCCCAAAACGGTGGGGCAGAGGGGTGGGGGTTGCACCCCCCAGCATGGGACTGCAGCCCCAGCCAAGCACAGGGAGCAGCAGAAATGCACCACGTACCCATTGCCCTGCTTCCCCCGCGGGGGCCTCTCCAAGTGCAAGTTACCCACCCCACACAGGTACCTACCCCACGCAGGTACCTATCCCACGCGGGTACCTACTTTATCAAGGAAGCTGCCAAATGTTGGCCAAATAGAAAGCTCTCACCAGCAAACGATGCCCAGCTCCCACCTGGCTCTCCAAAAAGCCAACCCCTTCCTGCCCCAACCTGCGCCGTGCGGAGACACGCGAGTCGTCCCCCTGCTCACCGCAGCACCCGAGGAGGTCACCCCAAACCCCACCCCAGCCTTTCCAGCCCCCGAGGGGAGACAGAACCATCCGCGTGATGATCTGCCTGGGGAGAGCCTGGCGCACCCCACAAAGATGCTGCGCGAGCCTTGTGCGTGGCTGCGCTGAGCTTGCCGACAGGAGTTTATTTTCAGACGTGGTCAGGGGTTCTTTCTCTTTCCCCTTAAAAATGAGATGAGCTGTGGGCGGGCAGGCAGGCAGGTCCTCTCTCCTCGGAGCGTTCCGGCTGCACGGCGGCTCTCCAGCTTGGCAGGCTCCTGGCACCCACCACCAACACCCACCAGCATCACCAGTGCCACCACGGGGCATGGGGCAGGGCTGAGCATCCTAGTGACAGGCTTTCATCCCTGATACGTACGGGGACTCCTGGGGCCTGCAGTTACACTCCTGCTGCTCTGGGTAATCTATGAAGTCCGGGGCGGGCAGACCCGAGAGGATCATCAAGGATTTGTTCCAGATGGTGAACGTTGGGCACACGGGCAGGATGAAGGAGACTTCGAAGGTGTGGAGGTGGAGGGAGTTGGCCGGGTCGTAGAAGGAGAGAGCATTATTGTCGTAATCCAGGAGGACGCCGAGGCGCTTCATCTGTGGGTGGACCTCCACCAGCATCTCCTTGTTGTTGTGCCTCACCACGAAGTTGTTGTTGCAGCGGGAGAAGACCCAGGAGGAGGAGTTCTTCCCAATCCACTCGTTCTTGGGGGCTGACTTGTAAGCCACGCCGATGGCGTACCTGGAAGAGGGGAGAAGCTTTGCTTAGCGACCTCAGCGTGGCATTAAGCCCAACCCCAGTTTCCTGCGAGCAAATGCCTGAAAAGCCCTGTTCCAAGCGAGCCTCGCTGTGGGTGCTCCAGCACGGATTGAGCAGAGCACCACAGGGACACCACATTGCCATGGGGCAGTGGGAGGCACGCTGCCTGCCGCACGCAGGTCCTGCTCCACCTTTGATGTGAGCACCCTGGCTGTGAGCCTCCCCAAGACACGGGTCCCCGAGCTGGCTCCAAGTCCCTCAATCAGCTCCTACCAGCGCTGTTCTGCACCTGCTGCTGGGGCCCTAATGCCCTCAGAGTGATGCTGGCCTTCAGCTGGAGAGAGCTGCTCCTTGAAACCCACAGCCACCTGGATTTAAGGTCCAGTGATGACAGCAGCAGCCACCTTTCTAATCACGAACAACCCTGGCCTTTAACCCTAGCACATCCCGTGCCATCTCTGGGGGCATCCAAGGGACCTCCAGGAGCAGGAGGGAAGAGAAAGGGGCTGCCTACCAGGTCGAGGATCCCACCACCACCTCCCAGTAGTGGCAGCCGCTGTCGATGAAGACATTGCCTGCCGCGCCATAGCACCCTGTCCCGCTGAACCTCTCGGGCGTGTGGCTCTTCTTCAAGGAGCTCTCGTCCTTCTCCATCTGCAGCCCGTCGTTGGAGATCTTCAACTTCTTGTGAGCCATCTTGGGGTCCAGCTTAAAAGGCTGACCTGTTAGAAGAGGACACATGCATCAGGATTTGTGTCTGTTACCCTCGTTGTGCAGGCAGAATGTGGCAGGAAAAACATCTGCCCCGGGCTCTTTGGACATTTTCCATGAGCCACGGGTGCTATCGGAATAGCCAGAGACACTGCTCATGGTCTGTGCATGGTCTGTACTCATGGATGCCCAGCAGGATGCTGAGGTGCATCCTTGTGCCTTGGCACGGCTATTGTCACAGCCTGCTCCATAAGCCACCTGCCCCCGGTGATGCTCCCATGCCCCTGGTGCCTGCAGCAGTGTCCCCAGCCACAGACAAGTGGCTCCTGCAAGGAAGCCACCACCCAGGGTGCCAGCACCACCTGCGAGGCAGAGGAGAGCAGGGCCAGGAGAAGCATCTGCACCACGGGCTTATTCCCAGACCAGACAGAGGGGAAGGGTGCGAACCTCAGAAACGTGGAGAAATAAGGCAATGCATCCGCCTGGGATGTGCCATCCTGGCCCTGGGGAATGCTGCAGACCTCTCTAGTGCACATTGCACCGCTCAAGTGCTTTATTCCCTCATCACAACAATTCCCTTTTGCCCTCTGTTAATGGTGTAAAACGTTGCGGAGGAGCGAGGGGGATGTTACCCGCTAATGGAAATGGCACTGAAGAAGCCATCAAGCACCGCGAACCAAGTCTGGGCAAGGCGCGCAGCCTGCCCGAATCCCTCCACAGATCCATACTCTATTAGCAGTAATGCGAGTTATACGAGCGCAGTGAAGGGAGAGTGGACCCTGAAGTGCTGGTTTAACAATACTGAATCACAGAAGAAGCACTGCAGCGTCGAGCATATCCCCAAATCCCCATCAACAGACAACACAGCTCGCTCCCAGCGGCACGCAGGCTGCTATTAGATTTTACAGGAAACATGCCCGAGGTTTCTCGGCACATCTCCGCTGCCAAACAAGGTCCGGGATGCTTGGAGAAGACAGCCTGGGCTGTGCACGAGGTGGTGGAAACAAATCAAAGGCGCTGGGTCCAGCCTGTGTTTAGCTGGGTCTGGAAGCAACGGGAGAGCACAGGGCCAGCTGAGGAGCGCACAGCCCGGGGCTTCCTGCTCCACCAACACAAAGAAGTCTGATGGATCCTGCAGATCTTGAAGGCTGGACTGAAACACAGCTCCAGCTCCCTTGTAGTGTTGGCAGCCCACAGAAGCCAAGCTGACACGCACTCACCGCCCTGCTCGCTTTGATAAAACCCTTCCGCAGGCGCCGGCTGCACTCCGGAGGTGGAGGAGCTCCTGGTGCTGCTGAAACCTCCAGCAACTTGCTGACGGGTAGGGAGGGGCTAGGGCACCTCCACATTTTGGTTTGCCACGAGCAGATGCGTGACCACACGTGCTGCCTAGCGCAGGGATGGCAGGCACGACATTCGGCTGCACGGGCGACTTAATTCTGGTGCTTTTCAAATCCTGTCCTCTCCGATTTGCAAATGCAACGTGCGACAGCAGGGACCTGGCCCTGTCACATCAGCATATAAATAGCGTACAGAGCCTGGGTAGGATTTCTAGAGGGATTCATCTGGTTTAGCACAAATCAAAGCGAACGGGGCAGCTGCAGCAGAACACCTTCAACAACCACAACCAACTCCGAACCACGGCTTTGTTACCTGCAGAGGGAAGGCAGACACCGTGGCGCACAGCCAGCCACCCCTCCTGCGTTTTCAGCTATGCTAAACGATGCTCGTGAGGTGCAACACCACAGCCAATGCTACCATCAAGGCTGCTTTCAAAACCAGGTCTTAGGAAATGCTGTGAGCAGACGGCAGCGTGAGCCAAGGCAGCTTTCTGTAATGGAGCTCCTCTGCGTTGCTCCCTGACTACGCCGGCAGCTCGTGTTTATTTTCCTTGGAGCCCCATTTGCAAGATAAATGAGTGGAGAGGCCAGAAAGTAAAGCTGGAGGTTGGCAGTGACCCTCTCCTCTAGCTATCTGAATATTTTGAGATCTGCCTTTTCCCAGCAGTAATGCGAAGAGACAAGCCCAGAGGAAGGGAGGTATAAAAATACCCGGCTCCACCGGGTACATCTCTTCCCCTCATCCTTTTGGTGAAGCCGACCCCTCTCTAAGGTCAGCGTGAACAACTGGGTCCAGCCCTTGTTGCCTGCTGGTGCTGGCACATCCTGGCCCAAGGGCTCGAGGATAATCTGCAGACAGAGAGCAGCGAGAGGAGGAAATTCTGGCTGGCCTTGGGCAAGAAAAGGGCCAGCAGCACTGTCAGATTTTCTTTTCTCGATGCTTCTTGGAAGGAATAAATGCTGGTGAAGCCCAGCAGGTCCGGCTGACCGTGCATGGTGCAAAAGCCACACAGAGGGACAGCCGGCACGGGCTGTGGGTTGAGTTACGTGAGCTGTGGCTGGCTAAATGCTGCAGGAACAACTGCCCCGCGATGCCCAGAAGCCAGAGACAATGCTGAATTCAGCCACGATGCTGAATTGCCAAGGCAAGGGAAAGCAGTAAGTCCATCCAAAGCTATGGATCTCCCAACAGACTCCGTACCGAGCAGCTTGCTTTGGGATCACACATCTCACCCTGCTTGTTAGAAAGCATCAGCACTAACACATTGCTGCTGCTAAGGGCAGGAGACATGAGTGAGGATAAGACCAGTCCACAACGGTCAAGGCAAGGACCATGAAAAGAACTTTCCGTGCACTTTATTTACTACCATCACTTGTACCCTCCCTGTATCCTGCCAGTTTCAACCACTTTTGGACACTTGCTAATAAACAAGACCTCCCCAAGCCCAGCCTCAGCAAAGGAAGGTTTCTTTCTGTCACTAGACCAAAATTATTTCCCCCAGCTCTTCTGCTCGGGCAGTTTGGGAACACAGATTTAGTGCCTGCGCTGATGCTGCAGAAATCAATGCGTGTCCTGACACTGACCCTCTGGCGGTGAAGGCATCTCTCCGGGCACCACTTCAGGAGCAGAAAGAAGGCTGCGAAATATGCTAACTGGCCTTTCTCCTCGTCGAGCTGCTGACACTTCCACCAAGGTTACGGCAGTTGGAAAGCGTGTGCTGTCTCCTAATTGCCCGCTTGAAAAGAAGCAGAGCGCGTCGCCCCATGAAGACAAATGCGGGCGAGAGGAATGGGCAGCGAGCACAACGGGCAGCACCCGCAGCCAGCGCCACGCACGTGCCCGTGGTGGGCAGCAAACACCCCCGAGGAGTCTCGTACACCAGGGCTGGCCACGGAGAGAAGACCTGTATAAATACACATGACTCAGGCAGAAATTCAGACCTTTCCCTCCACGCTTTTCATGAGCAGTACAGCTCCACTCCCATGCTTGTTGGCACTGTGGTGGTCACTAATCACACTCTTTGCACCCCCTCCTTGGTGCGCCCTGCCCCACGGACATCAGGCAGGGACAAAACTGGCCATGAGATGGGGCAGCTCCCTGCCCAGATCCCTGCAGTCCCCTTTCCTTGCATCTCTCCATCCCAGACAGGCTCTGCCCCTCTCTGGTCCCCTCCACCCAGGTGCATGGAGGGCACCAGGCACAGCCCCCTTGAGGTCAAGCTCCTGGGCATCGCTCATAAATTTGCCCCAGCTTGGCCAACGAGCCCTCTTCGCATGCACAGCTCATCCCTGCTGCCAAAACCACGAGTCGCTGCTCCGAAAACATCAAAAGTTCACGCTTCTGAGTGCACGAGAACAGACAGCAAGAGAGGGAGCTGAAAGACGAGGTGAGCGATGGGGCTGGCCACCAGCAGCCCCAGGAGAGCGGAGAGGATGGAGCCTCCATCACCTGGGATCGCTCCCGCGGCCGCTCGCTCCCGAGGCAGGAGCTCCTCAAAGCCACGATAATACAGAATAATTTGTGTAGCGCTCCAGGAGATGCCTGCTCTAGATTTTATAAATGCAGGAAGCTGCTGCAGACACATCCAAGCGACAAGGGGAGTTCAAAACCCGATTGGGCACTTATTTAATCTGCTAAATCGAGTTCAGCTGCGGAGCGGAGCACTCAGCGGTGAGCCCGTGTCTCCGATGACTGACACGCGCTGAAAAAAACACAGGAGCAAGCCCTGTCCCCGGGGAGCTGCTGAAGCAAAGCGCCTTCGCTCCCCTCCGCACTGCTGTGTCACATAATCGCTCTCGGCTTGTCAAGTCCCCGATTTCTTATTTCCAGAGCGAGCACCTTTCAAAGCACGGGCAGGCTCTTAAAAACAGCAACCGCAGGAGGGATGCAATTTTAATAAACAAGGCAGAACTGGATTGGAGCCTGCATCCCGGCAACTCCCCTCCATCCCCACCAGCGCACCGACTGCACTTCATTTCATTTTGTTTAAAGGCGCACGGGTTTCGCAAAGAAAACGAGGAGGCGGAGGCAATAAATCACTCCGAAAGCCTGCTCGAGGCAGATGTGATAGCAGCACCGGGTGCTGCTTCACAGCCCTGTGCTCTGGAGCATCTCCTCTGCCTCCCACCCACAGCGAGGAGCCCCCGGGGCACGTACTGTTGGTTTTGAGGCGGGCGGGTTCGCTGTTCCTGCTGCCTGCCTGGTTGATGGCCTTGACGAGGAAGATGTAGCGGGTGCCACTCTGCAGCCCGTGGACGGTGTAGTGGTTCTGCTTGATGTTGGGGACGATCATCCAGCTGTCCATGGAGTTGTAGAGACCTGCGGCGGGGGAGAGGGGAGAAGGGTCATTGGCAGGGAAGGGACTCGGAGCCAAAGGGCTCTGGAAATGGAAAGGAGTTGGGAACCCGGAGATCTGGAGGCTCTGCTGCAGGTTGTGCTGTATCGAGGGTGGGATGGCACGGGGCAAGGAGAAAAGCACCTGGTGGTGCTGCTACTGCCACCAGCACGGCTGGGGCGAGGGCAACCTGCAGGGAGAAAAGGATGCTGAGGGCTTTGGGGGCAAAACCTGCGCTAAAATATCTTCTCTGGGGCAGATATTGCAACGCGGGAGCATCGCTTTCAGCAAACCAGAATTAAAACGAGGCAGCTCAGGCGGAGTAGCTGGGGGCTTCTTGGATCCAGCAGGTCTGGGGGCGAAGTGTGAGACAATTCATGAGGAGTGGGCTGGGAATGAAGGCTGACAGAGGAGGGTTTTCAGCCTCCCATCGCTGGGGAGTGCATGCACAGCGGTGTGCCAGGAGCCCGGGAGATGCTCCACACACCCTCTTTATAGGCTCACATGGGGACAGCGGGACCGTGCCCGCAAGGGGATGCTGCTCGGGTTATTATTTACCCCCCGTGGCTTGCTCACTGGGAGGACAAGGGCAGATTGCAGTCATTGTCAGCTCGGATTTGGTCTGAACCAAGCGTGGAAGCTGCCTAGGGGAGCAGAGCAATGCTGTATGAAGTAGCAAATAAACCAGCTATGATACTGGCAGCATCCTGCACACTGAGCTGCTTTCCTGCATGGCCAAGGAGTTACCTCCCTGCAGACAAGGGCCACCTCTGGGTCCTTCACTGGAACGGCCAGGGCGGCTGAGAGATGACAATCTGGGAGTGATTTGGCCTCCGAGGCAGGTTTCCTTCTCAAAACCTATCAAGGAGGGGTTGTCCCTGCAGACTGAGGGCTTCTCTCCTTGCCAAAGCTTAAAAAAAAATATCCTTTTTATTGCAGCTTTCGTCATCCGAAAAATGCCTGACTCCTGCCGAGCCCTTGGCTTTAAAGGCAGCGTAAAGGGGAGGGTTTCCACAGGCCAACTGTGTGCTCTGCAAAAGGTATTTCCTTCCCTGGGAAGCCTCCTGGTGCTCCTGCTAGGTGAGCCCAGCACACTATTTTTGGCGTTTCTCCTTGCAGGAGTTCAGCCAGGACTCAGACGCTTTCATCACCCGGCCCCGACCACGTTATTGCAAGTGACAATATATTATTCATCTGCTCCTCGGAGGTGTTAACTGATGTTTTCTTTCCTCCTTCTACCAAGAGCTAGCGGAGGAGCCTAGGAAGCTGCTCCTGACGTCTGCCCCCTTGGGCTTTCCCCCGGAGCCGCCCCTGCTGCCCAGCTCCTCGCCCCCAGGGAAAGGCAGGGGGACAGGGCAGGGGGACACCCCATTCCCTACAGCACTGAGGACAGGAAAACTGGAAGATAGATTTTCCTCCTTCAATTAAAGTGCTCGTGCAACCTCCCTCGAATTTTAGGGAAAAGGCAGGGTTACAAGAAATTGCAATGCGTGCGCATTTCTGATATCAGGACTGCCATGGAGGGCTCCTGGGCACCCAGAGGAATAAATCCCTGTTCCTGACACTGGCAAATCATCCTCGGCTTTCTGACCGAGCTGCTCTTCCCCAATTAATTGTACCTCCATAGAAACCCAAACAACTCCCTTTTTTATGTTCTCTCTTTTTTTTTTTTTTTTTTAATAAGCCTTCCTGACAATGAGAAATGAGGAAGACTAAAAGGAGACTGCAGATGTGACGCCTGGCCTGGGGGGCTCGTTGTGGGTCACAGCTTCAAGCCCTGGCTCCTCTGACCTGCAATTCACCACCGCTCCCTAACGACAATCAGTGGTGCTGAGAAGCTGGGAGTCCAAGCCTCCTTTGATCATTTCAGGTGTCGGAGGAGAATAAACTACCTAGATATCCCCCCCCCTGGTGATTTCTGGTGTGCTCTGCCTTCCAGCCGTCAGCTTCTGCCTGGCTGATATTTGGGCAAAACTCCAGCACAGCTGCCAGCTGTGCGCTCCCAGCTGTGTGCTCCTAAATGTGCCCTGCCAGATGCGTGTCAGCTTTCGGCTGCACCCAGCAGCGCCCACCCGAGCCAGGGGGTTTTGCTCAGCGAGCGGCGACTTACTGATGAAGTTGGCCTGGCCGGTGAAGATGGTGTACTGCAGCTCGTAGGAGCTGACGCTGAACTCGTCCTCCGAGATCCAGTGCACCGTGATGGTGTCGTGGGAGGCCGTGCAGAGCTCCTCGCGGACAGACGGCGGGTTGGGCGCTGCGGGAGACCACAGGTGGTGCGTTTCAGTAAGTTGGTGTCTTCTCGGGTTAAAACGCGTAAGACTTTTTTTTTTTTTTTTTTTTTTTTTTTTGCTCCCACAGACAGGCGGGCTCACGCAGGGAGCAGCAGCCTCTCGATGCGCACAACCGTCTCGTTTTACACGTCACTGACTAATGATGTCCTCGCTTCTCCGCAGCTTGCAGCCCTCCCCCTGCCTTGCCAGCCCCTGGCACAATACCGCAATCAGCTAATTCACCCGGGGTGTCCCCAGCCCCCCCCCGCCTTACGCGCAAAAACCTTGCTGCACGGCTGCAGGGGAGCGGAGGCACCCTGCAAACAGGAGGATGGGGACAGGTCGCTGCCCTGGGGACAGCGTGGTGGCCTTTATTCTGCTGGGGCCAACCACTTACCGGTGACAAATGTGCCCTAAAACATCCCCCCAGCTCTCGGTGGGGTGCAGGAAGCAGGGACCGGGGGGATCAGCGGGGCGCAGGCGGTGGGAGCGCAGCCGTGCACTCACCGGTGAGATAATCCAGCCCCTCCAACAGCTTCTTCTCTCTGGAAAAATCCAAGGCGAAGTTTTCAAAGGCGTCATTAAAATTGATATCTGGTATCAGAACTTGAGAGGATGCAGTTGCCATGGCGACCCTGAAAGAAAAGAAGAGCCCATCCATCCGCATCAGGGTGCGCTCCGCTCCCGGCTCCCGGCTCCCGGCAGGGGCGAGGTGGGCGACGGGCAGGGCGCGGGCAGCCCGCGGTGCCACCGCCTGGCACTGGGGAACCCCAAGGGTGGCAGGGACGAGGCAATGAGGTCGGGGGGCTCCGTCCCTGGGGGTCCCGGCGCCCTGGGCTGGTTCCCACCCCGTTGGTTTTTCCACCACTCCTCCCCACCAGGGAGAAACGTCAGCTCCCTGCTCAGCACCACCAGGACCTGCGGTGCGCCTCCTGCCCCCCTGAATTTATACGAGGGCAGCATGCAGCGGGGGTGTGAGGGGGCACCACTGGCTCTGCGCTCAGGGGACAGCTCGCCAACGGGGCAGGGGTTCACCCCGGGTGCCACCCGGCGAGCCCACCTCTCGGCCACGTTCCTGGCCGTCTGCAGGAACCGCGCGTGGTCGTTCTCCTTCAGGATGTGCTCCGCCTGGTTGATGAGGACCGTCGAGCGCTCGAGGCACTGCCGGCAGTTGGCGACCTGCTGGGCCAGCTTCCTCAGCTTCATCACCTGCAGAATGAGCAGGGGGAGGCGAAGGTGCTCAGAGAGGGGGGCTGCGAGCTGCCTGGTGGCCGGGGCCACCTCCAGCAGGGTCCCGCTGCTTTTTGGGGGTGAGGGGCTGCAGTAAGAGGGGAAAGGACAGGAAGGGTGTCCTGTGGAACGGGGGAACAGGAGCTGGAAAACTGAGCCAGGCACCAGCTTGTACCCCAAAATAAGGCACAGTGGGCTCGGCTCCATCCCCACAAGCATCCCGCAAGTCCTGCGACCCACTCAGGGACCCTCCAATCCTTCAGCCCCCTTCCCGTGGGGCTCCTTGGAGGGTACTTACTGGTGACTTAAGACACCACTGAACAAGCCATAAAGCGATAACAACGGGCTTGGTGGCACCCCTTTCTTCCTTGCAAAGTGCTCAGGGGAGCAAAGAAACCAGAAGAAACATCATTTCTTAGGAGAAATGTGGGGGAAAAGCTCAGGTGAAAGGCCCTTAGGAACTCGTAAATCCTCCGCTCAGCAAGGACCAAGCTGAAGGAACAATGCCAGGCACCAAACCCAGGTCATCCCTGGCACTGCTCGTGGATTGCCAAGGCCACATTTCTGGAGGGTCTGATGAACTAGTGCACACAGCTCCAACAGTAAAATAATCACAAGATTTAACCCCCTTCTTCCAGGAGAAAGGAGGGGGATCAGCACGCGGGGAACTGCACCAACGGCAGAGCTGAGACTTTCCCAAAAGACACCGTGCATTAAAGTAAAACCAACAGTCCTCCAGAACGGCACCAACCGGAGAGACACCGTTTCCCCTTGCTTATTTAGCAGACACTAGCAGCAGAGCACGGTGCTGGACTTGTCCTGCCAGAATGCAGCAGCAGAGCCCCATCCCCAGCCCCATCCCCGAGCTCCATCCCCATCTCCGACCTCCATCCCCATCCCCAAGCTCCACATGGCCCCCCCTCAGCAATCCCCTCCACCTCCCGGGGAGCAGCTGCTCACCCACACAGGTCTCATCCTGAGATCAGTTCCTGCTTTCCTTTCTCTTTTCCTTTATTTTTTTAAATTTTTATTTTTTTTAGAGATCGGGGCGCTTCGCAGCCCTCACCACGCTGCCACGACAGAGGCTCCCAAGCTGCCGGCTCCTTGCCCCTTGCCCCCCCCGGCACGCTGTCAGCCCGTGCCCACCATGCCTGTGACTCAAAGCAATCCGTCAAGAAGCCGAGCGTGAGCCCTGGCTGCTGACAGGAGCTGCTGGAGCTGCTGTCCCCGGTGCCAGCGCTGTCATCGTGCTCACAATTAAGCAGCCTGCTAATCCCCCGGCTGACACCGCGGCCCCGCTCCCCTCGTGGCGTGTCCTTCTGTCACCTCCCAGCCCCAGCGCTGCCCCAGGACCTCGGAATAGACAGGAGTAGGGTGAAAAGCCAGCAGATGAGCTCTGAGCCACTCCAGCTGAGGAAAAGCTCCAACTTTGCACCCAATGGCTCCCGTTGCAGCCTGAGGTATGGCCGATGGAGCTCCACGGGGACAGCGTGGCACGTACCCAGCTGCCAGAGAAGGGACTTTGGGGTGAATTACCATGAAGTGAGGACACTGGGGCGTCCTCCAGCTAGTGCCACAAGCTCTGTGATGGCACCCAGGCTTAGGCATCCCCTGGGACGTGCCCACTGCAGGAGAGGACTGGCTGCGCACCCGGCTGTGCTCTTCCTGCCAAACCTCGCTTCTCCTGCCACATCCCTGTGCCCCAGGCTGCGTTTAAAGCCAGCTCAGGTGGCACACCCAGCACCTTGGGGGGGGTCTTCTGAGGCGAGAGGCCTCCTGTCTTGCAGGGAGCTGCTTGGAGCCAGGAGGCAGCACCCTTCCCATCCCGCAGGGCTCAGGGCCATGCGTAATGCCCGCGGGAGCGAGAGGAAGGCTGCTGCACCGAGCCACCCTGCTCCACACCCCCAGGAGAGCATCCCCGTGGGGATGTGCCCCATCCCACCAGCATCTCACCGGGATGGGGGAGCCCTGCAGCGAGCGGAGGAGTCAGCTGCCTCGTTGGATAAAGCACAGATGAATCAAGCCAGCATCTAAACGCTGGCACGGCTCGCCCCACAGCCGTTGGGCAAGGTGCGGTGCGAGCAGGAGGCTGACAGGGTGAGAGGGGAGGCAGGAAAGGAAACACGGGGGTCAGACAAGGGCAAAGACCCGACAATGAAAGCACCATGCCTGGAAATGCAGGAATGAACGGCACAAGGAGTTGGGCTGCAGCTAAGCAGTCGCCTCACCGGGCTGTGACTGGCTGAAGGGATGCGCTCAGGCCAAGGGGACCCGTGTGTACCCCCAGAGCGCTCAGTCTCCATTCTATGTGACCTCTCCAAGGGTGAATAACAGGAGCCCTGCGCCCCAAACACACCAAGGCTGGGGGAGCTGATGCCCCAGCGGTGTGCTGGGGGCTGTGGGGAGGGCAGGGAGCAGCAGGTCCCAGTGAGCCGTGCCTCGCTGGCGGCACGTTGCGGGGAGAAGCGGGGAGAAGCGCTCGTCTCGGCTAGCAGCAGGCGGCACAGCTCCAAATGGCTATTTGCACAAGGAAGGGAGGCTCCTGCTGGGGCTTAATGGGCTGATGGATGGCTCGTTTTAAGAACAGCTTCGTCAGAAAAAATATAAAAAAAATCAAAGGGAGAATAAGGGAGAGAAATGGGAAGAAATGGTTCAAGAGAGGACACGGCAAGCACAGCGAGGAGAGCCTCATGCCCTTGCTGTGATGGTGTGCCTGGCTACCAGCTCCTTCCAACCACATCCCAGCAGCGAGCAGAGCCTGCAGCACTAATCCCTGAGGATTTTCACAGCTTCATGAGCCTCGCCCATGCATCTCCACCGCCTCAGTGCCCCGTTCACCATGGGGTGCTGTGTGGTGGTGCCTGACCCCCAGCATCACCAGCCTGCTCCCGGGGATGCCTCCTCCTGCAGGCTGCCTCCCCTCCCACGTGTGACACGACACAAACCTCAGGCCACTGCTCTGCTCCTCGCACGTTTCTTCTTGCCTTCTGCAGGTGGAGGAGCTCCAGCGCACAGCTACCCAGGGCCGGAGCAGCCAATCCCCCCTGGGACCACATGCTGTGCCCTGCCAAACAGGGGAGCACTGCAATGCTCTGCCTGCCCTGCACGCTGAGGGCTTTTTCGTCTCTAAATGGCAGAGAGAGGGGCTTGTCTGCAGAGCAAGCAGCGACCCACACTGTATGTCGTGCTGTCCATCAGCAAAAGCAGCCCAGAAGTGGAAACCAAATGGGAATTCAGCAGGAGCGCAGTGCTTCTTGCTCTGCTGTCTGTGCGCATCAAAGCAGCCGCAGTCTCCAGCGCTTCCCCCTTCCTGCTTTTTTTTTTTTTTTTTTCTGTCTTTTTTAATTCTCCAGTGTTTGCAGCTGGGGTTTCTCAGAAAGGCTGCTTGGAAACCGCTGCTCGTAGGTGTTACGCTGCTGAAAGCCATGGAGAAAACCCCTCTCTGCTCGACCGTTCTCCAGATGTCTTGCATCTCGCCTTGCTCCTGAGCAGCTCGGAACAGAGATGCTGGCAGTCTTGCAGGCGTCTGAGGACCACAGCTAAGAAGCTGGCAGGGGCTGCGCTGTGGATTTGCCTTCCTCACAGACACGGCGCCCACGGATGGTGCACAGCACCGTGTGGATGCTGCCACATCCCACAGGTGTCTCTCCCAAACCCATTCCCTGAGCACCGCTCACTGCCCTCCCGTCCTTGCTCCTGAGCAGCATCATTGAGGGGCTCCCCAAAAGCTGGGATTTAAACATCCCAGGGATGCCCAGGAGTGTCCTGATCCTCCCCACCCGCCCAGTCCCCCACAGTGCCACCAGTGTCCTCCCTCTCCCCTTGTCCCTTTCCTACAGGAGCAGTGCTTGGAGCTATACGGGCTCCAGGTTGCTCGTTTGAATTTACAGGCTGCTTTGGGGCACGAGTCAGGGCCTCTCTGTGCTTCCCAGAAGCCAAATCTGTAGGAAAAACCAGCTCCAAGAGTCCCAGCTCTCTGCCAAGTACGGCTGAAACTGGACAGCGTGGTCAAAAGACGTTAGGGGGAGAGGGTGGGAAGTGAGAGGCAGACAGACAGATGGACCAGCAGAAGGCACCGTTACATAAAATATGTTTCCTGAAGTGCCTGGGATAAAAGTGCACATTTTAAAGCTTCCGCTCCTGCAGAAGGGGGTCCGTGGTGTCCCAGAGTGACGCTGGCTGGCTCTCGCACATATGCACATGGCGTGACCTGCTCCCAAACCGTTGTCTGCAGAAAAACCCTGTATTTGGGGTGCTGGTGCTCCCAGCAGGACGAGCTCCCTGGCTTACCCCTCGGTGCTGCAGGGGATGCACAGAGCGGGAGCCTCCGTGAGGAAGGGAAACTCGCCTAGGGCCACAACGCAGAGCAGAGCTCGGACAGCCCTTCAGTATTAACTCCACATTATTATATTAGCAGCACGGTGTAAGAAAAGCCCCGAGGAGGCCGTCTGGGCTGATACAAGCACCTGTGCTCATTTATTGCGCCCACGGCTGCGCCTACCCTCCTCCGGCCACGCTCCTCCAAGCGCACGCTCGTCCTCGCGGGGGCAGCCCTGGGGAGAGGTGACAGCGAGGGGCACGGGGAACCGGGCAGCACAACTTACCTTCGTCTCCTTGATCTTGACAGCGATGACCTGCTTGCGCTGGCGGATGATCTCCATCAGCTCGTCGCACTCCTCCATCAGCTTGGCCTCGTGCATGGCCGTGTTCACCTGGGCGGGAGGAGCGGAGGCGCACGTGTCTGCACCCGGGCGCAGCACCCCCGGTGGCCCTGCCCTGCTGTAGCCCTCCTCAGCTGGGGCAGAAATTGGGAGGCGAGCCCCCGAGCCCCTCTGCTCACCCCCAACCTCCAGCCCCCCGTCTTGCAGCTGTGTCTGTCAGCCCATGACCCGGGAGCGAGAGAAAGACCGGCATCCTTTTGGGGGATGGACGGGGAACTGGGAATACACTCCACAGACGGGGATTTCAGCCCTGTCACTCGAATTAAACAGTGTCCTGAAGGACATAAATAGGTTTTCCTCATTCTGTACTCTCAAAAAGATCTGAAACAGCAGAGCAGTCTGAAGCCAACCCCGAGCTAAACACATTTGATACAAGATCTTTTTTTAAACCTGGCCAGCAGATTATGCAACGCCAAAGTGGGAGACAGCTGATGGTCTGCAAAGATAACTCCGCTGAGAAAAACAGTGGATAATCTTCCAAATCTGCTGCAAGGTAGTGGCAGGGGGTGGAAATCAAGCCCAGGATTCGCAGCCTGCTGCAATCCGTGCTGGCAGAGGGGAAGGCATCGGTGCAGCCAGAGACCGACATCCCCTGGATTTCCCAGGAGCACAAAATCAGGGCCAGGATTTCGGACCCACACGGACCCACGGTCCTCCCCGTGTGGCCCTGGCCTCCCTTCGGAGAGCCAGAACCCGGCAGCACAGCCTCCTGAGCACCAACGGGGGACTTGTGCTAAGCCTGGGGCCTGGCACAGCCCCGCGGTGCCCACAAATAGCTCCGACGCAGCCCCCTGCCTGCGGCAAGCGCGGAAGGGCAAAGATATTTTCTGCTTCACACTTTGGCGTGCTCTCCCTCTAAAGCTGCCTCTGAAGGCCAGGACCGCATATTTAGTGAGGCTGAGAAATGTATTTGGACTGTTATTTTAGGCAGAACGACTGACAAAGCTGAAAACTCCTAAACAGTGTGGAAAAACGACAGCCGGGAGGTCTGAAACTTCCAGAATCTACACGAAATGCCAAGCTGCTTTTAACATCAGAGGCCTGTCCATTTGGACGCTGTGGACGGATTCAGACACAAGTCTCTCGAAGATGCAAATGCCCTGAAACTCGCAGCCTGTCCCAGCTCCTTCCTACCCGTGCACTGAGCTGATCCTGTGGCTGTTGCCGGCGCTTGCGGCGCTGCTGGCACTCTCAGAACAAAACTCTGCTGCTGCCTGCAGGAAAGGCAGAGCCCCAGCCTCTGAGGGGTAGGTGGTAAGGGACAAAATGCAGCTCCCTGTGTAGATAGATGCCTTTTCTCCTGCATGCTGTGCTACGGGGAAATTATCCCACTTGGTGCATGCAGCATCCCTGCGTCCTCGCATCTGCGCATCTCCCCATGCCCTAATTTCTGCACCCCTGCATCCCTGCCAGCTGCTTGGGTGATGAGGCAGCTCCAGGATCGTTCAGGGGAAGCTGCAGGGCTGGCAACCCCCCAGCCAGGGCCCAGGGGAAAGTGTCGGACTGCTGGAGGGTAGGAAGGCCCTGCAGGGGGACTTGGGGAGGTTGGATCGATGGGCAGAGGCCAGTGGGATGAGGTTCAACAAAATTGAGTGAGGGGGATCTGGATCTAACTTCTCGCAGATAACCGGTGATGGGACCGGAGGGAATGGCCTCAAGTTGTGCTGGGGAGGTTCAGGATGGAAATGAGGAGACATTTCTGCTCAAAAAGAGCAGTCAGGGATTGGGACGGGTTGCCCAGGGAGGTGGCGGGGTCACCGTCCCTGGGGGTGTTCAAGGAGAGGTTGGACGTGGTGCTTGGGGACAGGGTTCAGTGGGTGATGGTGGTAGGGGGCTGGTTGGCCCAGATGATCTTGGAGGGCTTTTTCCAACCTTAATGATTCTGGGATTCTATAAATAACCATCGTGTTTGCTCAAGCCCTGGCAAAGCTGCCCTGAAGCCACGCCAGGGATCCCTGCAGCAGCCCAGTGTCTTTTCCTCCCGGCAAGGTTCTGGTTCAAGGAACCGCCGCTCAATTTAGCACCGAAAAATCAATAGCCTGTTAAGAAGAAACTAATTGCAGCAGCCGCTCTCCGTGTATCACTTCAGCAAACAAAGCTGCAAATTAATTTGCTATGAACGGCTACGCGCACTTGGAAACAACAGCAAGGTGTGAGCTGCCTTCTTCCCCTTGAGTGCCGCTCACGGGAGCGCATCGCAGCCGTGGCCAAGGGCAGCGCCGGGCCAAAAGCGCTTCCCTGGGAAATGCAAACACAGGATGATGCCTGATTGCACACCGCCAGCACAAAGGAAGACAGCAGGAAGGAAGCAGGGAGGCAACCTGTGCGTGTTTGGGAGGAGGAATGCAGGGAGGAAGGCTGGCTGCTGCAGACAAGGCTGAGGCTCGGTGAGACAGCAGAGAGGGGCAGGCGGATGGGCTGCTTGGGAACGGAGATGGGAGCAGTCCCGTGCACCCCGTCAGCCGAACCGGGAGCTCCCCGGGGCCCCCTCCCCATTCCTGCCCTCTCCCCTGGCCCCTCTCACCAACCTCCACTTGCTGGCAGATCTGTATCAGCTTGGCCATCTGGTTTTCCAGTTCGCTGTTGCGTTTCACCAAGTTGGTGAGATTCGTCTCCAGGGTTTGCTGCGAGGCCAGACAACCAGGAGGAGAGAGAGAAAGAAAAAAAAAAAACAAAAAAAACAACACAACATAAGATGAACAAAGCCAGAGGACTGCAACCACCAAACCAGACCGTTTGTCACCCAACGTGCTGCCCGAGGGAGCAAAAACTTGGATAACTTTGGGCCAAGGTCTTGCTGCCAAGCGCTGCCCAGACCCGACAGAGTTTGGCCTCCCCTTGCCAGCACGTCCTGCCTTTTTGTGAGGGTATAAAGAGCTATTCTGCTGCGATTTCCAGCCAGGAAGTCTGCCTGCTGGGAATGAATAGCTGCTATTCTCCAGTCCCTGCTCTCCCCTCAGCATCCTCTGTTGGTGCCGGAGACGAAGGGCTGGGAGCAGGCTGGGGTCTCCCTCCCCAGCTCCCCGGCCAGGCTGCTTCTGGCTGTGCCCCTGGGGCTGTGCTGCCTCCGGGGAGGAGAACACGAGCCAGCAGAGCGCTGAAAAACAGAGCTTGATATCTGTGGACACACAGTGGACGGGCATTTTTTGGGTATCAATAATTTAAGCGACACTGCATCGCCATTAAAATCCCTGGTTTCGCTAAGAGAAAATGTTTTAGAGCAAAGCGCTCGCTACCTGTTGCACCGCTTGTCGTGAAACTGATAGCCTATTAATATTTTAAACTCCAGGGCCGAGAGAGGATCCCCGCGGTGTTTTATTCATACTCGGCTAGAAAGCGCGGCCCAAGGCTTTCATCAAGGCTCCAGCAGACCCATAAACATCTGCACGCACGGATAATTTGGGGTCTAGCTAGCCAAGAGAACTTGAATCATAGTCATAAAGCACAGGCAAAGCATTCATTCCTGAAAACCACTGGCTCCTAAAATACTCGAAGCTCGCTCGCAAGCCTGCAAATTGCTAGCCAATGGCTGGTAAAGCAGAGCACAGAACCAGGCTGGAAAAACGCAGCGAAGCCCTGGGTGCCTTCGTTAAGCTGGAAGTGCTTTGCACAACAATGCTGTATGGATAATGAAAAAGCCAGCTGCTAACCGCTCCTGCCACCGCCTTTCCTTACAGCTCAATATTATTAAACAGCATCTCACTACAGCGCCCGAACGTTCAACTTGCTAATTATCTTCCTCATCACCGACTCAGCTGCACTGAAGTCGCAGCTTTGAAATCGCGGCCGATTTGCTTTCATGTTCCTGGGCTGCTGGCGGAGGGCAAGAGGGGGAGGCAGAAACGAGCTCGAGGAGTGCGCTTTGAAGCACACGAGCCCCAAACGCATTTGCAGCATCCCAAGTTTGCCAGGGACAGTGTCCCTCCTCCCCCGTACACGAACACACAGCACTGATCTGTTCATTAAGTGCACGCCTGGTGGTGCCAGGATGCTGCAAGCAGTGTTTGAGTGGTGTTAGTGATGGTGTGAATGGGGAGCATCCGAGCACCCCTCTTGCTGCTCCCTGCCTTTGCAGGGCTTCCTTCAAGAGGCACATCTGGCTCCTGCTGCTGCTGCAAGCCCTCCTGCAGCACCTGAACACAGAGGTGAGACCATTTCCTTCTGTTCGCTGTGCTGAAAGAAGGAAAACGTGCAAGGAGCTTTGATTATACCAGCTGGTTATTTCGCAGGTGCATATAAATTCCAGCAACGATAGGGGTTTTGTTAAATCATGCGTTATAGAACACTCACAATTTCCTCAAACATCCACCTTCTGGCCTGAAATGCAGAATATTTGATTTCCCTACAATGGGGAGAAGCGAGAAAAGGAGATAAAAGGGGAACACCACCACGTCCTTGCGCCACTTGGATTGGCACCGGGTAGCGTTTCCCAGCCCCTGCTGGCCGCAAGCATGGTGAGAAGCAAACCTCTTCCTGCAGCACCGAGAGAGCACGAAGCTCTGCTCTGCTGGTGCAAAGCTCTGGGCGAGGGAAAGGAGGGTCTGGATGAAGGCTGTGGAGTGCAAAGTATGGGGGCTCCTACTGGGGGCCCAGACTGCAGAGCGCTTGCAGCCAGCCCAATTAACACGGGCAGTGGGAGAGGGCTCACCCCCAAACGAGCTCGGCAACAAGGCTTGGGAGGACGTCACTTGGACCTGCCTTGCTGCAGGGCTGGGTTTCCAAATTTATCCTCATGCAAAGGCCGCCAAAACTGGAGAGTGTTTACTCAGTGATTTATTTGGACGTTGCTGTTGTTGCCCTCGTTCATTTATAATTGTTTTCGATGGAGGATGGACGTCCCTGCACCCTCCCTCCAGGCGCCACAAACACGAAACACATGGGTGTGCAGCAGTGCACGCATCCACAGAAGCCAGAGCAGATGGGAAACGCTTCCTCCAGGAGCTGGCACGGCTCTGGGGCCGTGGCACGTCCAGGGCATGGGGACGGATGCTCCTGCCCCATCTCCCTCCCCGTGGTAGCACTGAGCCAGGGCTGCCTGCTCCTGGCTGACTCCAGTGCTGATAGCAACACAGCTCTTTGATGCAATGCTTGTAACCAGCTCCCATGAAAAAAAAAATAAAAAAATTGGGGGAAAATATGATAAGCCAGCCAGCTGCCTTTCTACGCTAAGAGAATTTCAGCAGACAAAAGGACAAGTGACAGAAAGACATGACTGAGCCTGCCGAGCGGCTCCGGCGCAGCTCCCGCGCTGTGACACTAATGCATTTTAAGTCGCTTTGCAGCAAAACGTCCTCAGTAAAAGCTGCAATAAAATGCCAGCTTTCAGTGCCTGCTATCACCTTAAACAGCAGTGCTGACCTAGAAAATGAAGCAATTTGTTCTGTCGGCATTTCTAATTGTGCTGAAGAGAGGCTGGAGAAGGCTCGAGTGTCCCATCAAGCCGGGTCCCCTGTCCCCAGCCGGGTGTCCTCAGCCCACCCCTTTCACCCCACGCACGCCAGAGCAAGACCTGGGGCTGGGCCCTGCTCTCGCTGCTGCAAATCCAGCATTGCAGCGGCCTCGCTCCCACTTTGCAAGGAGGATAAAGCAGAGGAAAGTCTCAGCCCGGAGCGCAGAGGTGAAGCTTTGCCGGGCTGAGCAGGGAGGGAAGAGCCAGGGGAGGACAGATCCCAAACACGTGTCCTCCACGGAGGCTTTCAAAGCAGCCTGCATTAGCATATCCTCATTCAACGCCTGCTTGGGAATTGATATTTAGGAGAGAAAAAGACAAGGAAAAAAAAAGCTCAAGTAAACAGGGCTAACTGAATGCAAAAAAAAAAAAAATGCAGCTGTATGTTGTTGCCTAATTAGCAGATATCGGATTGGAGGCTCGGTGCTTTTCAAGCATCTCCTTTCAGCCTGAGCTCACCAGCACTGCTCTAACTCACCCGATTACGCGGTGCTGGCCCTTCTCCTGCCTTGCTGGCCGTGCTGGTGGCCCCGTGGCCACCTCCCCAGGGTGCGCACCCCAGGTCCCTGTGGCACCGCAGCTGTGCGCACCGTGCCATGGGACGCACGGTGCCAGGCAGCCCCAGGGTGCTCCTGCCCGACCCCGTCTCCTGCTGGGCTCCTCTCCAGGCACCTCTCCCTCCCCACTGCCCTGCCACCAGCCAAGGCCACTCGGGACACAGCAGTGATTAGTCCTCTCCTTAATAAAGAGCGGAGAGGACTCCGCAGCAGCGGAGACGTGGTAATGAGAATGGGCTTGTTTACCCTGCTCAGGAAATTCCTCTCCTCCCGCGGCTTCACATGAGCTCTGGTTTTTGGCAGGTCAGGAGGGGGAATGGAAACCGCGCAGCCAGCGCTCGCAAGGAGAATCAGAGCAATCGTGTTCGATTCACACAGACGTGTCTGGGGCAGCCTGAAAACCCCGCAGCCGGCGCAGGGAGGCACTTGAAATGAAAGGACGCCTCGTATCCGCGCAAGCCCAGGTTCCTCAGGCTGCCAGCGCTGCGCAAGCGGCTTCATTTGCACTTCTGAAGCCTGCCCAGCAGCACGGCAGCCCCGGACCTTGCCAGTGAGAGCCTTGTGCTGTAGCCTCTGCCCTACACCGCCGCCGGGAAGCCTCCTCTCTTCCAAGGGATTTGAGAATACCCAACGTTTTTTTCCATGATGCTTTCTGGAAAGGCAGCGTGCCTCTGAAAGCACATCTCATCCTTCTGGCAAACCCACTGGGGACTGGCAGCAGCAGCCAGCGCTTGCCCCAGATGGCAGCTTCTGGAAAAGGGACCTGAGGGATGAGATGTCCCGGGATGTTGAGCCGCAAGGGTTCGCAGATCCTGGAGCACCTCCTGGATGTGTCCCCTGACCTGCAGAGGCTTTGTCGTGTGCTGGGGACCAGGTCAGCTCTGCCTCCCTGCCAGCTTTCCACAAACCAAAGCTCACCACTTGGGTGCGAAGCAGGGGCCACGCTGGCCTCCTCCCCAAAGCTCTCTCTTTCACTCCTTTAGCCCCAGAACATGCCAAAATGGTTCTGCTCCTGCAGAAAGGCAACCTGAGGAGCAGGGTAGGGGAGAGCTTGCTAGTTCTGTAAATCAAAGCTGTCTGTACGGTTCCAAGGGGCAGAAAAAAATATCTCACGAAATAGTTTCATGTTGTCATTCCTCCAAAACTGCTGATTAGTTGCAGACTCGGTCTGAAGCATCCTCTTGGCAGGTTTTGCTGTCTGGCTGCTTCGCGTGCGTCTCTAGGACTTACATTTCCCCTGTTTGCTCTCTCTGTCCCTGCGGTACTTAACAGAAACAGGGACTCTGCTTCCGAAATCATTCCTGCAGGCAAAGATCCTGTAAGAGCCCTTACACCTGCAAGCCCTTGGCTCGAGTCATCCTCTTGGAGAGATGAGGAACGGCTGCGTTGGACCAGGCGGGGATGGATAACCTCTGGCTGCTGGAGCTCGTCCCCACAAGCACGGAGCCCAAAGAACGAGCTGTCCCCTGGCGAGCTGCGTGGACCTGTTTTCCTGAGTAAAATGAGCAAAAGGCCAAGAAGGAGCCTGCTGATTTTCCTCTCTGTTACGGGGTGGCCAGACCTCCTCAAGCTGCCCGGGATCAAGTGGTGTGAAGAAACGGTCTCCAGCAGGAAGCCC